TTCATGGGTAATGCCCACTTCATCACTTGCGTCTGATGAAGTGGGCATTCACCCACGAAAGCTTATGCTCCAATACTTCTGTTAGTCTTAAAGGTGCCACAGGACCCTCTGTTGCTTTTTACAGATTCAGACTAACACGGCTACCCCTCTGATACCTTCTACTTCCATGAATCCTATGGGGAAAGAATTTCATCTCCCTTTCGCTACAATTAGGGAAACCAAAACAATTGTCATTCACCTGCTTTTAGAGCTTAAGAATGTACATGCTTGTTCTCTGCTTTTATACAAGGCTTTAACCAAATGGATTACACAGGAGATCCTTGTAGGCACAACAAATCCAAGACAATGCCAGTTATTTGTCTGCAGAGCTTGTCTGCCAGGCATCGTAGCTACAGATTTAATGATCCCTCCCAATGTTCCCATCAGACTAGCGTTGCAGGGTATTTAGTCTCTTGTGTCCATGCCAACTCTGAATGGCATCACCCGTGAACGCTGGCACATCCTGCCCCCACAATGCCAATGTATAATGCCAGGTGCTAGGCACTGTGTATTTCCTTGGGATCATCAACCAGCTAGGATTCATGCGCTTCAAGCAAAGAGCAAGTTAAATATGGACCTATGTTAAAACCAGTAAGTGTCAATTTCAGGCTAGACTCTCTCCCCCTCTGGTTAGCGAGGTTGGCTGAAATCCAGCGCCTGTCTATGGAAGCAGGGACTGGAGCAACGTACTGTAGCAAGGCTTTGGTTTTCCGTGTGGGGTCGTCGGGGCGGAAGTTCTTGTATTCCTCCACTTCCTTCTCCAGGGAGAGTAGCTGGCTCTGCAGCTTGCTGCGCAGTGAGGGCAGGGTATCACGGATGTGGTTGGTCAGTTGCTACGAGGGGATGGGAGAAGTGGTCAGTGCTGCTGGTCCCCCCCCTGCGCGAGCTGCCCCTCACGACAAGCTATGTCAAGAATGGCCAGGCAAGCCAGAGCCAACACTGCACAATAGGAGACTTGAGGAAATGCTTGTCTAGGGATCAGGTTTGAATGCTTTCACTGAACTGGCCACTCTATTAAGATCAGAAATAAGTTCTAGTCCAGGTCTCCTACTGTTAGTTTAAAGAGACAATGGTCAGTTTCAAAGATCTTAGAGCAGTCTCAGGCCTCGAACCAGCCCCATTCTGCAGCTTTACAAGTCAGATTTTCCAGTTTTAATGCATTTTGCCTTCTCTTGCTTTGTGAAAGACCCATACGAACAAGGGGAGCTGACTGTATGGGGAAAATAACGAAACTGACCGCACGCTGGTGGCCAATTGCACCACGTAAGCCAAATAGAAGAGATTTCCCCTCCATTCTGGTGGCTACAAGCATCTTCAGCATTGCTTAGAATTCACACTAGAATGCACAGGTGTTCAGACAAGTGGGACTTTCATTAGTCATTCTGCAGATGGGGAAACCCAGGCTGGCCCACGAGCAGACTTACCCAAGATCACACATGATGTTTTATGTGGGTTGGCCACAGATCCAATTTAACTTCTGATCCCCTGTTCTAATCACTTGACAATGCGCTCCCCACTACAACAACTCAGAGCTGTTAGTTAACTGACCCTCCACCCAAGTGAGTAAGTAGGGCCTATGCACTGACATTAACCTCAGGCTGGCCTACCTGGTTGAGGACTTTCTGTAAGTGAGGTGTGCCCATTCGATCTGCCATGTGCCTGTAGGCTGGGTGAGAAAGGAAGAACTTCCGCTCTGCGGCCAGCGCTGCTCTGATGTCCTTCTTGCCTTCTATATCCTTCTGGCTCCGGTTAACGACGCCGATGTAGCCTGTAACGGGACAATTCCATTGCTAGATCTTTCTAGAGCGGGACACAGCTGGCGCACTGGCCTTGAACACCTGTGCTCCCTGCAAGGGACCCTGGGGTTACTGATACAGTTACAAAGGGGAACTTTATACAGCTTGCACAAAGGGGAATCTCTCCAAGCAGGTAACTAGGGTTTCCTGCAGAGCACGCCCCCCGCTGGCAGGTACCGTCACAGCTGCTGCAATGCAGAAGAGCTCTGGGACTTCCCTGTTTTCTATAGATCGTGAAAGAGAGGAGGGCGTGGGGATCTCAGCAGAATGCTGATTGCATAAGGGTGGTGGCATTCTACCTCTTCTTAAAGGAAGCAGTTTGTTCTCCAGGATGTCTCTGGCATCGGTGCCCTCATCCATCAGGTCTAGTTTGGTGATCACTCCAATTGTCCGTAGGCCTGAGAGAGGGAGAGGGGTAGAAAGATCAGTGGAGAAGCAGCTAATCAACGTCCCATCCCCCACTCTGCCAGATACGTTGAGGGCAGCTGACCAGGTCTGGAGTTAGACATGCAGGGAAAGCAGTCCTCAGTTTCCCAAAGCAGGAGTCACAACCCTCAAGTCAGCCTGCAGCACTTCAGGTGCAGTTTCAATGTTCACAACTGGCTCGTGCGGCAAGAGGAGCTAGTGATTAACGCCATGACTGGACAGTTTAGTGCATCAGCCTGAGTGACGAGAGTCACATAACTCGTTAGGCAAGACGTGAGCGCGTCAAGTCACACCCTTCAGTGAAGGCTGTCAGCCAAGCAAGCCAACAGGTCACCTTGTGAGTCTGCCTGGAGGACTCTGGGAGATAAAGAACACACCTAGTGGAAGTCAGAGGACAGGAGGGTGGCAGGAAGAGTGTCATATGGGGGGGGAGGGAGAGAGAGAGAGACACTTGTCAACAGGAGACCCGGCTGGAGCAGCAACCACTGCCCTTAATGGGGACAGGAGAAGAGAGCCAGGATGTCCTTCCAAAGATTCAATGACATCAAGATACCCTGTTCTAATAGCACATTCCACTTGGCAGAGCCAGCCGGGATTCCCCACAGTAGCGAGAGCTGCTCAGCAGAACACATGGGAATCCTGATATCCCCTCCCTTTGTTAAAGGATTCTGCAGCAGTTATGTTACTGCAGCAGGTGGGCGCGTTTGTGTTACCTTGAGGATCTACTTCTTTAGCCATTTTAAGAGCATCCGAGTTCGCCAGATCCATGTTGGCTGGAGTCACCGCAAGAATCAGGCTGCTTTCTCGGCTGATAAACTGCAAGATCATGTCCTTGATCTGGTACTCAATATCTTGGGGCTGGTCTCCTACCGGCACCTTGGTGATACCCGGAAGGTCGATCAACGTCAGATTCAGCACTGAGGAGAGAGGAAAGCAGAAAGCTCATGCTGTGTGAAGCAATGCAGAATATTTTATCTCTGCAGTATATGGGGAAAGGAAGGGGCGTGTGCAGGGGGTGCCCAGAGGACCAGCTAGGATATTCTGTTTGTCCTCCGTAGATCACTCCAAAGCTTGTTGCTCGGGAACAGATCCTGGTCTTCGGGGACCTTCAAACCTCCCTCTGAGATGCTATTTCTTTTCCATTCATTGAAGTGTCACAACACCCATTTCTCTAGTCTTTGCATTTAGAAGCCTGCTGACATACGCGCTCTGATCGGAAGAATGCAAGTCTCACTCACCATGTGGTGAATATACTCTCAGGTTGATGGGAACGGGAGAGATTCCTTTATTGGTTCCTGTGACCCGGTCTGTCTCTGCCTCGATCTCCTGCCGAACCTCGTCAAAATCCGTGAACTTTTTGGATTTGCAGTGCAAAAACTCTGCATATTCTGGAAGAGAGAGATACCCCCCAGGTTTGTAACGCAACACACCGGCTTGCAGCTAGCCTTCACCAGCAAGAGGGCCGAGTTCAGCCCCAGTGTGAACAGACCCAGGCCCCAGCAGACTTGCTGCTTACACCAAGACTGAACGTGGTCCTTGCCCTTTCATAGATTCTAGCACTGGAAGGGACCTCGAGAGGTCATTGAGTCCAGTCCCCTGCCCGCATGGCAGGACCAAATACCGTCTAGACCATCCCTGATAGACATTTATCTAACCTACTCTTAAATATCTCCAGAGAGGAGATTCCACAACCTCCCTAGGCAATTTATTCCAGTGTTTAACCACCCTGACAGTTAGGAACTTTTTCCTAA